CACCAATATTAACATTGGTGGTGAAGAAGCTAGTGCTGTCCGTGTTGCGGCTAGGGAATTTCCTCCGTTTTTTCGTGAGATTATGGAGGATGGACAATACACCGACGACCAGGTGTTTAACATGGACGAATCTGGTCTTTTTTGGAAAAAGCTACCTTCCAAGACCTTCGTTGTGAAGAATGCCAGCAAGAATCGGGGCCGGAAGTTGCAGAAGGAGCGCATCACCGTCCTGTTTACCACCAATGCCTCCGGTACCTGTAAGCTCAAGTTATCGGTGATCCACACAGCACGCAAGCCGCACACCTACAAGAGAATGGACATGACCAAGCTAAATGTCCACTGGCTGACCGCACGTAAGGCGTGGATGTTCTCCACTCTGTCCCTCTCCTGGTTTGATGACTGTTTCGTTCCTGACGTTAAGAAATTCTGTGAGCAACACAATGTTCCATTCAAGATTTTGTTGCTGCTTGCCAACGCACCAGGACATTCGCCCCTACTGTTAGATCATCACCCCAACGTAAAAGTGGTCTTCCTTCCTCCCAACACTACGTCTATAATACAGCCCATGGACCAAGAATTGATCTGTAATGTGAAAGCTGCATTCTCTGCCAAGAAATTTTAGATCCTGAACGAATACACCAACACCAAGGAAGAGTTGCGTAACCTGAGTGATACCGATAGCAAGAGCGAAGACGATGAGGAACAACAGTTGGCAGAGCTGTGGGGTTATGAGATATTTGTGTTCACACTCAGGATGGAATGGAGAAAGGAAACTCACAATGCGCTCTCTATATACATGTTGTATTGGATGTACAATGCAGCTTGGTGCTGGGAAGGCAGCTTGGTTACAAGCGTGATGTAGAGAGAGCTGGTTGGTGAGGACGCTCAGAGAAGGACAGCTTGTGGGTCGCCATGCTCGCCGGCGGGAGAGAGGACCGCCAGTCAGGCGGAGGAGGAGAAGGGGCCGCCAGGCATCGGTGGAGGAGGTGTGGTGTTGCTGGCTGGTTGGTGTAGGTAGAAAGAGGACAGGTCACCACGAGGTCAGGTCTTAAATAGCGAGGGTTGGCGTGGCTTAGTAGTTGACCCCCGCCCCGTGGTATATGGCGGCGCTGGTTGACCTAGACCACGAGGCATACACTGGGGAATTGGTGGGGTCGGCTACTCAGCGACAAACAGCATTTGTAGGGGAGAAATCCACTACAATACTCCCCCTTCCCTCCAGGCTGTGTAGGAGACTTGTTGTCTGCAGAGTTGCTTAGCACATGTGAGGCAGAACGGGCGGTGCATGCCTCATGTGAGACAACGGCGATGGCGTGGATGAACCGGTCGCTGGATACAACTGTCTATATGCACACTATCTGTGGGAGAAGAGAGGGAGAAAAAGGGTGTGTGGAGGCGATGAATGTTGTGCTTCCCTCACGGCAGGTACAGAGTCGTCAGATGCGCCTGCTGGGGTGTGTGGGCCTGGGTCAGGAGCAGGGGCTGCGTCAGCAGAAGCGGATGAGGGCTCGTGACAGCAGCTGGGTCCACGACAGCAGCAGGGTACAGGACATTAGCAGGGAGTACCTGAGGGAGAAAAGTGGGGTGTGTGGGTCCGCACTCAGGAACAGAGGCCGCGGCAGGGGTTACTGCTGGGCCGGGATCGGCGTCTGAGGCAGGACGGGTGTGCTGGGGTCGGTAGGACGTAGTGCTTGGGGCAGGAAGAGGAGCTGGTGTCTGCTTAGAGTAGCAGAGCTGCTCTAGGGTGTCTATCCTGCGGTGTAGAGACAGTAGTTGTAGAGCCGATGAGAGCTGCTTCTGTGTGGATAATCCAGTCTTCCATGTTGCTTGAAGACTGGGAGCGTGATCAGTTTCTCCTCCATCCTGTGTGAGTGCGAATCTCCGGGAGTCACCATTTGTGGGGTATGAGATGTTTGGTTCACACTCAGGATGGGATGGAGAAAGGAAACTCACAATGTGCTCTCTATATACATGTTGTATTGGATGTACAATGCAGCTTGGTGCTGGGAAGGCAGCATGGTTACAAGCGTGATGTAGAGAGAGCTGGTTGGTGAGGACGCTCAGAGAAGGACAGCTTGTGGGTCGCCATGCTCGCCGGCGGGAGAGAGGACCGCCAGGCAGGCGGAGGGGGAGCGAGGGCCGCCAGGCAGCGGCGGAGGAGAAGGAGGTGTTGCTGGCTGGTTGGTGGAGGTAGAAAGAGGCAGGTCACCACGAGGTCAGGTCTTAAATAGCGGTGGCGTGGCATAGCTGTTGACTCGCTCCGTGGTGTCGTGGCTGGTTGACCCTGGAGCCACGAGGAGGCATACACTGAGGTGGTGGGGTCGGCTGAGGCAGCGACAAACAGCGTTTGTGAGAGAATTCACTACATAGCGATCAGCTGATGAGAAGATGGGGGGGGGCTGGATAGGTGAGGTGATATGTCTGACAGTTGATGACTTTGTCTAGTGCTTATTTATTTATCAGCCCTTAAGATTTTTTCTCTTATAAAATGTCACTGAACTGACATGTTCTAATTAATTTTATTACAAAGGGCTAAAAATTTTATATCTTGTGCAAAATATATGAAGTTTATATTCAAATCATTCGCTGTCTTGCAAAGATTCTAGCAATGCAAATTATATTCTCCTAACTTTAGTCTGTGATTTATATAAGATAAAAACTGTAAGCCTATAACCACCCAACCCTGGCTGGGAAGATTGGAGGGGTGGAGGGAGGTGACAGTGACACGTTTGACAGTTGGGACGGAAGGTCTAGTGAAGTGCAGTATTTATTTGATTATTAATGTCCTTTAGATTGAGTTTTTGTTTTTTGTTTATAAAATGTCACAGAAGTGATTGGGGAGAATATAATTTACATTGCTGGAATTCTTCTAAGATAGTGATTAATTTGAATATAAACAAGCTATAGTTTGCATGAGACATACAAATTTTAGTTTTAATTTGGAAACGTATTACAAATGGCTAAAAATTTTATCTCTTGTGCAAAATATGTGACGTTTATATTCAAATTATTCGCTGTCTTGCAAGGATTCCAGCAATACAAATTATATTCTCAGAACTTTAATCTGTGATATTATATAAGATAAAAACTGTAAGCCTAAAACCACCAAACCCTTGCTGGGGAGAGGGGGGAAGGGGAGGTGACATGTTTTACAGTTGCGCTGAAGGTCTAGTGAAGTATTTATTTGTTTATTTATGTCCTTTAGATTGAGTTTTTGCTTTTTGCTTATAAAATGTTACAGAAGTGACCGGGGAGAATATAATTTACATTGCTGGAATTCTTATATCCGGTAGTGATTAATTTGAATATAATCAAGCTATAGTTTGCACTAGACAAAAAATTTAGTAACCATTATTTTGAGTACATGTACAGTACAGCTTTACCCTTAGGACAGTGTAGCGTGCCCAGAGAAACATTAGGCGCGGATTTTAAAATATGATGCACCAGATTGACTTGTGCAAAATAGGAAATATTTGCTTTAAATTAAAACATTGTCATTAATTGTGGGTGTCGCTTTAAATCAATAATCTTAAATTGAATCGCTTTAAATCAACGTTCTACTGTAGATGATTTACTGTACAGTATATGAATAAATCAGACTTTCTTACCAAAAAATCAGGGATCGAATTATACAGAAGATAGGTTTATACCCGAGTATGTACAATAATCATTTGCCTGTCAAGTGACTAATTGTAAGGTTATTTGCCCAGCCACTGATGCCAGGACTACCTTGGGTCCAAATTCACAAGTTTGATGAGCTATACACAGTGGTCCCTCGGTTAACGAACGCTTCGGTTAACGAAATTTCGGTTAACAAACTGCCTCCCATAAGATTCTTAAATTCGGTTAACGAACAAAAATTCGGTTAACGAATTTCTTACGAACCGACCTCAACATGTTTTCGCTTGCACTGGTCGGTCAACCAGCTTTAGTATTAGTCCGCCAATACATTAATCGGTTCTAGGGCTTAAATTCCTTACTATTTTCGTAAATATCAAGAAGTTTATACTATTCAATAATTTTAAAAGTTTAATATTAACTTTTTTAGTCATTTTAACAATAATTGAACATAATTGAAGGTAAAGAAACTAGTTTCTGGCGTGCCATCCAGCCTGTTAACACACCAGACAGGCGTTAGTCTCTCTCTGTTTTCAGTGGAGGTAACATCTTGCTTGAGACTCTCTTCAACTAAATGCTTTTTTTCTGTGTTTCCAAGCAAATTATTGGTCATTTTGAAATTTATTTTACATATTGACAATATATAATGCACTGCAGTGTTGATTTAAAGAAAATAATCTTGAATTACACCAAGAGAACTAAAATTTTATGGGTGAAATGGTGCCATGGGGTGACTTCTCTTCCACCCCAATGCCTTCTCTTCTTCCTTCTCCTCCATCTCCCACTTCAAATGCACATCATCATCATCATCCAGGAGCCTTCTACATACACACCTCAAAGTAAGTGAACTTTTCTACCATTTTTGTTGAATTTAGGCAATTTTCGGTGAGCTGGAACCAATTACCCAAAAACCCATTGAAACAATGGTTTCGGTTAACGAATTTTTCGGTTAACGAACAACCTGCTGGAACGGATTGTGTTCGTTAACCGAGGGACCACTGTACAGGGAATCCCCAACTTACGAATGCCCACCAATACGAACGGGGTTAAACTTTCAATTTACAGTATTTTATTTACCTGATGACTTTATTTTTTACTTTCATTTACTGTATTATGTCATTCTATTTCTTCTTTTCTATTATATAAGTGATTTTAGACGTATATAAGGACTTAGGCTATGATATACTGTAGTGGGATTTGAAACATTGTTTTGTGAGTACTGTATGCACATAGCATGTGTTTCGACTTACATTCATTTCCGACTTAAGAACGTCCTCAGGAATGGAACCCATTCGTAACCCAGGGACCTCCTGTACACTGTATGAGCAGCCTGGAAGAGCATCCTGTCAGAAAAGCTAATAGTAGTTCCATTTTGTTTCTAGGTAAATGCATTGTTCGAAGGCTGTGTACTCTGGTTGCAGGGACGTAAGCCTACATCACAACCACTCATAGACCAGAATGGAAATATCTTGCTTTGGAATGGAGACATCTTAGCGGGTTTTGAGGTACTGTACATTATACTGTACATGTTTTTTCTGATCTTAAAACTTTCACAGTATGATAGTGTATTGAAATTATAAAATCTTAAATAGCTAATGTACTGCTTCTTCCCAACACCTGATTTACTTCTCATTGCCTCAAGCCAACACCCGTGATGTCAGTTTTCTCATTTTCTTTTTGCATGTTTCATTGGGCCTCACTCTCAAGTAATACATAGCATAATGTTTTGTTTACACACACCCAGTGATGGTTTAAACTTAAATTTGACCTACATACAAATCTTGGTGACTGGTTGGATTGGTACATACTCTGTTTGTAGGCAGAGGATGGAGTTTAATAAGTCAGGAGCCCATAGTGTACTTTATCATATACAGTATTATTTCTATGTTGTCAACTTTACAGCGTATGTTTGTCTCCCTCCTCAATTTTCCTTAATGTTGATGAATTTTCCTGAAAATATTTTATCATCATCATTTCAAGAATCCCTGTTAAAATATAGGTTATGTAATTAAAATTGAATTACAGTCTTTAGCAGTGTTTTTTATTAATGTGAATTGAGGAGCAGAGAACCACAGTAGGACAAGCAGCTTAAATGAAAAAGAGACCAGTGAAGATATTGAATGTTTCAAGTGACAGATTGTAGCATTGTTAGTGCAGATTTAATTAATACTAGTAAAAGACATAATACATATTGTTTTTCGGGCATACAGTAAGTGCTCGCCTAACGTTGAGGTTATGTTCCTGAAAACGCAACGTTATACAAAACAACGTTAAGAGTATCAATTTTCCCCATAAGAAATAGATAATATGCGGGAGCTTCATATACAGAAATTCAATGGTATTTCTATAGAAAATAATACAGTCAACCCTCACTTTACGCGGTTAATTCAACCCACAGGGTACCGCGGAAAGTGAGAAACGCGTAAAGTGAACAGCATAACATATGGGATTAATTGAAATAGAGACCGGGCTGACCCCCAAACTCCACTTTTTGACAACACACAACTATAGTAAAAATATTATCTTAACTTTATGATGGTATGCACACACAATTAATAATTAAGAGAAATATCAATAATATTAGGTTTTTTAACACTTACATTAGTAGAAAAGATGGCTGGGCACACGGGGATGGGCGGTTGGTTCCGAGGCAGAGGGCAGATTATTTATTGGCCCTCACCTGTATCACTTGTATCAATTGTATCACTATCCACCACAGAGGCTTGCAGGGCCTCTTTGTCAAACCCCTCAAAGTCCATGTAAGTCCATATCCTCACTATAATTATCACTATCACTGACATGGGCCGGCTGTGGTGGGTGGCGGGTGAAGAACTCGGTAATGTTTTGATGACTGGGCGACCTTGTGAGCACCATGCTCGCGCTGCTTACACAATATGGCGGATGGCGGGAGATGGCAGGAAGTTTGGATCCAAAAATGGCGGGGCTCGCCAGCCGCTCTCCGCGTAAAGGGGTACACGCACCGCGGAATGTGAGCATTCCTGTTTTGGCAGGATACCGCGTAAACGTGGAAACGCGGAATGTGGGACCGCGTAAAGCGAGGATTGACTGTGTATATATATATATATATATATATATATATATACATACATACATACAACAGTAGTACCCTGATTTACGCGGTCAATTGAACCCACAGGGTATCGCGTTAAGTGAATACCGTGTAAAGTGAACAACAGAACATATGGGATTAATTCCAATAGAGACTGGCCCGACCCCCAAACTCCACTTTTTCCGACACAATACCTATGTTGTAGTAAAAATAACATCTTAATTTTATGATGGTATGCTCACACAATTAATATTTAAGAAAAATACAGTCGCCAGGTTAATGTCCATTCAAATAATGGACTCAAAATCCCCCCCCCCCCTCTTCCCAGCTCACTAGCTCCTACCTCTCTGAGAAATGTTTGGGTGAAAACACTAGATATTAACGTTTAGTAATAAATAATACCTCAGACTAAAGTTAGGATAATATAATTGACATTTCTGGATTCCTTGCAGGTCAGGGAATATTTTGAATGTAAACTTCATATATTTTGCACAAAAGATGAAATATTTGCTTTGTGTAAACAAATTATTTCATTAGATCTAAAATTTGTATATCTTATGCAAAATCCATGATGTTTATATTCAAAATTATCATCATATTGTAAGAATTCCAGCAATGTAAGTTATATTCTGGCCGGATAATTTGTATGAATTTTATGAGCTAAAACAAATATCTTCAGTAAATAATCAAAGAAATATTCTTCAAGGATACTATCTGTCAATCAAAGTACCCCACCTTTGCCTCCCCCCCCTCCTCACACTCACCCAGCTGGGTCGGTCGGTCCCCCCCCCCAACCCCCACCTTCCCTCCCTACCAGAGAAATGTTTGGGTGAAAACACTAAATTTGAACTTTTAGTAATAAATAATACCTCAGACTAAAGTTAGGATAATATAATTGACATTTCTGGATTCCTTGCAGGTCAGGGAATATTTTGAATGTAAACTTCATATATTTTGCACAAAAGATAAAATATTTGCTTTGTGTAAACCAAATTATTACATTAGATAAAAAATTTGTATGTCTAATGCAAAATCCATGATGTTTATATTCAAAATGATCATCATATTGTAAGAATTCCAGCAATGTAAATTATATTCTGGCAGGGTAATTTGTATGAATTTTATGAGCTAAATAAAAAAATAAATAAATAAATTATACTTCTCCGCGTATATGAGTAGATGCACCGCGGAAAGTGAAAGCCCGGTTCTGGCAAGGTACCGCATAAATGAGAAATCGCGGAAAGTGAAACCGTGTAAAGCGGGGTATTACTGTGTATATATATATATATATATATATATATATATATATATATATATATATATATATATATATATATATATATATATATATATATATATATATATATATATATATATATCTATCTATCTATCTATCTATCTATCTATCTATCTATCTATCTATCTATCTATCTATCTATCTATCTATCTATCTATCTATCTATCTATCTATCTATCTATCTATCTATAAAAGTTTGCATTGGTCCTTACCGATGGGCGGAGGTGGTGGAGTGAGTGTGTGGTGGGTAGTGAAGTGGCGGAGGGGGAGAGCGAGAGTGGAGGAGGATGGTGAGTCACTGAGACTCTGCGGTTGCCTCCTCCTCTTGCTCTGACTGGGATTCCTCCACCGCTGTTTGCTCCACCTCCGCTGTTGTGCCCCTCCTTGGCTGTTGCTTGCTCCTCCTCGGTTGCTGGTTGCTCCACCTCGCTTGCAGACTTTTGTGAAGATGCTGCTCCTGTCATCCGGCAACGGAGAAATTAATCCAGCATTAACTGCTTTGTGCTCCTCTTCTCCTTGTAGATCTCAGTGTAACAACCAAGACTGTGTCATCAATGCTACGTTGAATCTTTGAGCTACGTTCTTTATTTGGGTCGTCATCAGTAAGGACTTGCATACTTTGCTGGATCATGTTGAATGCTTCTGCCATCCTCTTGGTAGTTCGCGTTCGTTGTGCTGTTTCTTCGTCGTCATCGTTTTCAGAGGCACTGTGTTCTGTTAACAGTTGCAGATCTTCATTGGTGAGCTTTTCTGTATGGGATGCCAGGACTTGCTCAATATCCTCTGATTCCAGCTCATGAAAGCCTGCCTGTCTAGCCAAGCTGAGGTTATCTTGATTCACTGCTGGGACTAAGTCTTTGAATCCCTTAACACTATTGACGCACTCAGGCCACAATTTACACCACACACCATTCAGGCAACTTTCTGAAACCTCTTCCCATGCCTTACAAATGTTGTTGATTGCATGAAGAATGTTGTAGCCCCGCCAATATTCTTGGATCGTAGGTCTATTTTCTCCTTCAGTAGCCTTGAGCAGTTGGTCCATGGTACTGCGCAAATAATACGCCTTGAATTCGGCGATAACGCCTTTGTTCATAGGCTGCATCAGTGCTGTCGTGTTAGGAGGCAGGAATACAACTTTTACACTGTCGTACAAGTCTTCGAGATTGTAGGATGAGGTGGAGCATTGTCAACGATAAGAATTTTGAAGTCAAGGTTCTCCTTGGCACAGTATTCCTTCATGGCAGGGACGGCTTACACGTTTAACCACTGGCTAGATATGGTGCTGGTTATCCGTGCCTTATTATTTGCCTTGTAAATCACACGAATGTGATCCTTAGAGTAACCTTTCAGGGCCTGTGGGTTAGCAGCGCAAGAAATCAACACAGGCTTCAGCTCTTAAGTCGCCAACAGCGTTCGCGCCAAGCAGCAGCATCAAGCAATCTTTTGCTGCTTTAAAAACTGGCGCTCTTCTTTCTTCCTTGGAAATATAGGTCCTCTCAGGCATCCTCTTCCAAAAGAGACCAGTCTCATCCACATTGAAAACTTGCTTTGCTGAGTAGCCTCCTTCCTGGATAATATGTTTGAATTCTGGCGGGAATATCTCGGCAGCAACTGTATCTGAACTAGCAGCTTCACCAGTCATCTTTATGTTGTGGAAGTTATAACAACGCTTAAATCGTTGAAACTAGCCTCATCTGGCCGTAAAGGTCTCTTCCTTTGATCCTTCACCCTCTGTTCCCTTTAGGTTGTCAAACAAGGATCTGGCTCTATGCCGGATAACCATAAGGCTCATAGGTGGATTGCATTCATTCTGGTCCTCCATCCACATAGCCAGCATCTTTTCCACCTTTTCTATTAAAGTGCTTCGAGTATGATTTGTCTTTCTTGCACTCAATGTAGTAGCACTTCCAGCACTGACCTTAATCTTGTCCAATTTGGTCCGGATAGTACACACTGTTGTGAGGGTTAGTCCTAGCATAGCGGCTATGTCCACAGTACGTTCCCCTTTTTCAAAATGGTTTAATACATCCATTTTCGTAGCAAGGCTAATGGTCTTACGTTGCTTCTTCCCTCACTAGCATCAGTAGCACTTGATGGACACATGGAAGCCATTTCGAATGATTAGAGTACAGTATTTAGAACAAAAACACTTAAGCACATACGAATGGTGTGGAAGTGTAGCAGAGACTGGCTTGGCGTCGCAGTGACGTTCCGCTAGTGAGTGGTAGTGCGCCGAGCCGAGACAGCTTAGCGCATCCAGATGAGAGAGGGTGATGCGCCATAAAAAGTTGTCCGTGACGACTCAAAAATGACATTAAATTGAGTCGTCGGGAAGTTAAACAAATTATTGGTGTCTTAAGAGTAGCGACGTTGTACCGAAACAACATTAAGTGGGGCGACGTTATACAAGGACTTATTGTACCAGCACTTGTCGTACTTCGGTTCTGTTGTCCTCAAATACTTTGTGTGTGCTTGTCTTTAGTAAATTATGCAAAACATAACATAATTTTTTGAAAATGTACTGTACTTACTATCTTCACTTGTCCCTATTTTATCCATTCTAGCATTTCTTTAATACATTATTTTATAATTATGTTTTAGCCTTGTTCTAAAGAAATGACTATCACTTAATGATGAATTCATATTTTGTATTATTAATTGGGTCTAACATTTTTACGTACAATAGGCAGTGTGGACGTCACTGAACTCAACTGCCTTCACTTAACCAAGTAAAGTTATGTATCTATTCACAGCAAGAGGGACTGTGGGTGTCTTAGGCATGAACCAGCAGCTTGTAGGATCAGATGTAAGTGACATACAGTGATAGAGAGGTTTAAATATATACAGTAGAACGTCTATATAACACGAGATACGTTCCAAGAGAGGTTGCTTTAAACCAAATTCACACTAAATCGAAGTGTTGTTTCAATTAAATAATTTAGTTTGGTACTTGAGAGAAACAAAACACTAAAAAGACTTCAGAGTCTACCCAGATGCACCTTAGCCCATCTCCTAGAATAAACAAAACATTGTTTTTTGTAGTATTTTGTTAAAACAAACACTCATATATCAACACAGCTAAAATTATGGGACGTGAAATGGTCTGTTTACTAGTGATCAGCTGATGGGAAGATTGGGGTGGGAGTGAGGGGGGTGGTGAGGTGAGGTGTTTGACAGTTGATGCCAAGGTCTAATGCTTTTATATTTATCTGTCCATAAGAGTGACTTTAAGTTTTCTCTTATAAAATGTCACTGAACTGACATGTTCTAATTAATTTTATTACAAAGGGCTAAAAATTTTATCTTTTTGCAAAATATATGACATTTATATTCAAATTATTTGCTGCCTTACAAGGATTCCAGCAATGCAAATTATATTCTCCTAACTTTAGTCTGTGATATTATATAAGATAAAAACTGTAAGCCTATAACCACCAAACCCTGGCTGGGGGAATGGAAGGAGGAAGGGGAGGTGACAGTGACATGTTTGACAGTTGGCGCCAAAGGTGTAGTGAAGTATTTATTTGTTTATTTATGTCCTTTAGATTGAGTTTTTGTTTTTTGCTTATAAAATGTCACAGAAGTGACCGGGGAGAATATAATTTATATTGCTGGAATTCTTATAAGATGGTGATTAATTTGAATATAATCATGCTATAGTTTGCACTAGACAAAAATTTTAGTAATCATTTTGAACATTATTTTGAGTACATATACAGTACAGCTTTGCCCTGAGGACAGTGTAGCGTGCCCAGAGAAACATTAGGCGTGAATTTTAAAATATGATGCACCATATTGACTCGCGCAAAATAGAAAAGATTTGTTTTAAATTAAAACAATGTCCTTAATTGTGGGTGTTACTTTAAATCAATAATCTTAAATTTAATTGCTTTACATCGACGTTCTACTGTATAATAAATTAATCTATTTTCCCTAATTCCAGATTCCAAGAGATCAAAGTGACACAGAATATTTATCTGATGAGTTGGCAACTAAAGAAGAGAGAGAGATTTTGTCCTTCCTGGGTGTTATAAAGGGACCCTGGTCACTTATTTACTTCCAGAAAAAAACAAAGAGACTCTACTTTGGCAGGGACATATTTGGCAGGCACAGTTTGTTGTGGCAACTTCCCTCTGAAGCTTTTTTAATGTTCATGATATCATCGGTGTGCAGGCAAAATGAATGTGTCAAGGAAATCCCAGCTCTTGGACTTTTTTATATAGATTTTTTTGAAACAAATTTAAAAGTTCAGTTTACAGTCCATTTGATACCTTGGTCACATGCTGCTGAAGAAAGTCTCATGTGTTTGGATCCTGTAATAAAAGTCAAGGAGCACAAGATAATTTCATGCATTCGAAATACCTTAGATATGTGCATTCCCTCAGATACCATTCTGGAAGATATCAAGTCTCTGCCAAGTACATTAGATGGAGAAAACACAAAGATACTTCATTTAGCTTTTAAAAGTGACATTGAAAACCTGTTAAAAGTTTTAACAAATTCAATTCAAAGGAGAGTTGACAAAAGTCCACTTAAATGTCGTAACTGTACAGATTCACAGGTAAGGTGTGATCACTCAAGAATTGCTGTACTGTTTTCTGGTGGCCTAGATTCTGCTATGATTGCACTTCTCCTAGATTCATGCTTGATGGAATCAGAAAGTGTAGATTTGCTGAATGTGGCATTTTTACAGAGAGTTTCCCAAAGTAATGAAGTTAAAAAGAAATGTAAGGTAAAGAATTCTTCAGTTTCTGGAAATAATCCCATTATGAACTATGAGGTACCTGACAGAATCTCTGGAAGGCAGTGTTGGCAGCAATTACAAGAAATAAGACCACTAAGAAAATGGAACTTTGTGGAGGTAAATATTATTTGAAAAATATATGTATTTTTCCAAAACTAAACATGTACAATCAGCCAAAGATGCACAAACCCCACCCTGGGTCTTGTGCTCGCAATTTTACCTGGCAAGACTTGGTAAAGGAAGGCTGTATGTAAAGGTGATTGTGATTGGTGGATCTGTTTTTGGCTGTATCACTGTCAGGATAAATCTTAAACAAACCAAAGTTGGAATTTTTATAATGATAAACTATTCATTGTTATTTAAGGCCATGAGAAGTTTCCAAATGTTCGTATATTTGTTTAAATAATGAAAATTTGATGAGAGAATCTTGTTGCAGCAGTGGTTGTACAGTGTAGTTGAATTGCCAATTCATTAATATAATTTTCTTCATTATTTCAGCATACTGTATATTAAAAAAAAATTTCAACTTCCCCTGAACCTAAATAACAATGAATAGGGCTAGCATCTTGTTCCCTCTGCCTTTTACTGAAAAAAGTGTCAATTGTGGTCTGTGGGGCATCTTTCCTCCTCATCATTAACTTATGTTTAAAGAAGGAGACCATTGTGTCCTCAACATGACACAAAGTTAGTACAGATTGTTCCACATCTGGGTGCCTTGAAGCCAGTTTCCTGAACTTCTCCCAGTAGTAAATGACATCTTTTAACTCTGAAGTTGACGTATGGTCATCACTTTCCTTTTCCTCATCACCACTGTCAGCCTCTAACATCTCATCCAGTTGCTTCAAGTCATTAGGAGTAAGTTCCTTCTCATGAGACATCACAAGCTCTTCCACATCCTCCCCCTCCACTTCAAGGCCCAATGACTGACCAATGGACACAATCTCCTGGTCCAACTCTGTTTCTTCCTCAAATCCCTCAAAATCATGGACTACTGATGGCCACAGTGCTTTCCATGAATAATTGAGGGATCTAGTGGAGATTTATTGCCATGATGACACAATCAATTTTACAGCTTCCAGGATGTTGAATTGTGTCTTCCAGAACTGTTTCAGTGTTAGTTGAGGATCAGTGGAAGTTGCCTGATGACACCTCATAAACATTTTCTTCATGTGCAACTTCTTGAAGTTGCTGATCACATTCTGGTCCATTGGCTGTATGATTGATGTAGTGTTGGGAGGCAAAAACAACACTTTCACAAAGTCAAATTGATACTCTAAAGTTCTGGCAAGTTGAGGGTCATGCCCAAGGGCATTATCCATAGGAGAAGAGCCTTTAAAGGGAGTTTATTGGTGGTTAGGTAGCTCTTGACAGAAGGGCAAAACACTTCAACAGCCAATTCATTAAAGAGTTGTCTTGTCACCCATGCCTTATGGTTGGACTTCCAATAAACTCCAAGCTCTCCTCTTACCACTTTTTGTTGTTTGAACACCCTGGGGTTCTCAGAGTGGTAGACAAGCATAGGCTTCAGTCGGAAATCCCCTGAAGCATTGGCACCAAGCAATAGATTGAGACGGTCTTTCATGGGTAAAGAGGCTTCATCTCTGGTGATGAATGTTCTTTTGGGCATCTTTTTCCAAAACAGCCCAGTTTCGTCCACATTGAACACTTGCTGTGGAAGATAATTTTCTTCATCCACCAGTTCTTTAAATTCCACTAAAAACTTTGCTGCCCCTTCCATATTAGCACTAGCAGCCTCACCATGCCGAACTGCATTAAAAAGTCACTTCTTTTCTTAAATTTTTCGAACCAGCCTTTGCTGGCCCTAAAATCTTCAAATTCTGTGCCTGAAGAACCAAGTTGATCTGTCTTTAAATGTTCGTAAATCTCCCTGGCTCTTTCACAAATAAATTCAGTAGAAACTGAATCACCTTTCATCTGTTTTTCCCTAATCCAAATGAGAAGTAACCTCTCTGTTTCTGCAATTAGGGATCTACTTTTAAACACTCTGGTAGATTTGTCTCTTTCTCTATTAAATTTTAATAAACCCCAAGTCAAGTGAGAAATTAAAGTCCAGCAAATTCCGACCGGTTACATATATATATATATATATATATATATATATATATATATATATATATATATATATATATATATATATATATATATATATATATATATATATATATATATATATATATATATATAGACTAGATTCTTATTAAACATACCGAAGCATCCAACATGAATTTGAGTAACGGCATGTACAAGCTGGACAATTTTGTAATTAAGAAGATTTGTGATCAGGTGAGAAGGCCGGGTCACTTGACCATCTGACCTGACCACCAACCGTTGTGTGCTATTTAAAGATTAGTAAGGTCATTATCTAATACCTGACCATTGTGGACCTGGTCTCACCCTCCTCTGTATATATACACCTTGATTTGTATTACTCTCTCTAGTCTGTACTCACCCCTGAAGATGTGAATTACACGAAAGCGCTTGGGAACTTCGTGTTTTCTTCTTTCCTTTAGGTTACCAGCATATACCTAGATCACGCGCACCTACAGTGATTTACTTGCATATATATTTATATGTATATATATATATATATATATATATATATATATATATATATATATATATATATATATATATATATATATATATATATATATATATATATATATATATATATATATATATATATATATAAAGTGAGTTCTGCTATAACGCGTTTTGATAACGCGAATTTGCTCTAACGCAATTTATGAATTAGGAACGATATTTGTATAACGCGAACGCTTGTTAGATATAACGCGATTTTTGCTTACTAATTCTCCAATTTTGTGGTACAGTGGGGTATGCTATAACGAATCTAATTGGTTCTAGAACCTTGTTCGTTATAGCCTTCGTTCGGTATAAGACTAACCAGTTCCAGGCCCCCAAATACAACCACTTAACACTGAAAAATATAATATAAAATTGTAAAAATTGTAAAAAAGTGCATAAATATGCATCTAAACCCCTGAAATAAAGAATATCATTAATATTTGTAATAAAAAAACAATAAATTAGAAAAAAAAATTAAATAATGTTCGTTGTAGGAGTTTCGTTCGTTATAGCATTCTCAATTTTATAGGTAAAACCGTTCGTTATAGGAATATTCGTAGTAGGATCCGTTCGTTATAGCATACCCCACTGTATTAACTGTGAATATAGTAAAGAAGAATATCAACAAGAAGCGTTCTGGTGATAGAATTCCCGGTGATGATCGTAAAAGAAAGGATATAACACTTGAAGAGAAGCTCGATTTTATCAACCTCAAAATCACCCTTCTCCCCCATCAAGTAAAGTGTTACATTTACTGTATGATTTCATTATTAGATATGAATGTAACATTTATTTAGACTGTGCTATCCTTTGTGTTAGGCTAACTACTAAATTTTTTCGATTTCGAGTAATCTGCACCTAACCCTATTTTCTCCATAAGCCTGTTATTTCTATTACGCGATTTTCTATAACACGATATTTTACAAGAACACAATTATACGTTATAGCAGAAACATTTCTAATAATATATATATATATATATATGCAGTATATATATATATATATATATATATATATATATATATATATATAT